AAAAATTTTCAATTGAAACTTTTCACCTACCGCCAGAAGGTGGTGTTGGTGAGAGGCGTACAAAGGAGAAAGCTAAATCTGATGAGAAGGAAGTTAATAGATCTGAATGGTAGAGGTGTATATGAAAGCAATGATGATGGTAATTAATGAAATACTCTAAGGGACAAGTGAATGTACAAATAATTAGCAGGTGCATATATATATATATTTGTTAAGTGGACACGCAGTACGCATTCGATCTTGTAAGTTATTGAAATGTGTCGGTTAAAATTGAGGAAATATAGAACTAACGCGAAAGTCGACGATAAAATAAAATATCGATCACTTGACCATTTACTATTCTGATTCATTAAACAATCTTTCCATATTGGGCAGTCTTGTTCCTTTTTTACAATACGTACATATGTCTATTGGTTTGTCATAGGCAGTGTTTCATTCCATCTAATTATATTGACTCAAGGATTTCTTATGATTATGTGATGATAAATAGTTACTTAAAAGATGAAAATAGTTCTGTAGTTCAAATAATTCTAAATAGTTACTTAAAAGATGAAAATAGTTCTGTAGTTCAAATAATTTGCAGGTTGTTATCGTTATGTCATATGAGTTAAAAAGAACAAACATTATCAAAAGGCAATCGACATGGGGATTATGGCGTACTTCAGGTTGCCTACTGTTATTTCGATGGAATTCGGTTAAAAAAAACATTACTATTACTATGGGTGATCTGTACTGTTAGCAAAATGGAATTGAAATTAACTTAAAGTATTTAAATATTAACGAAAATCTGATGATATGGATATGAAAGAGGAATGTTTGAGTTGGAATCGAATACTATCAAAAATCTAAAAAATGGGCCATTATGTTATTGATGTCAAAAAGGATGACTTGTAGCATTTGTATATTATCAAAAGCCTAATACAGTATAACGTTAAACATTTAGATTCAAATGCATGGGTATTAAAAGTTGATATTGATAAAAAATTAAAAGCAATGCTCGCCAAAAATAACAATCCCTTACTTTGGATTCCTCGTAATAAGTTGAAAGATAGAAATTACAGTACAGTATAAGCTTTCATATAATAGCTATTGCTTCATGCAATTTTAACGAGTCTTTATCCTTTTCTGGCAATTTTGATGCTATATAGATTTATTAGATTTATTTAATTGTTCCTCGGTCCCAAATAATTTTATTTAAACTCGATAATAAAAATAACTATTATATAATAAAGCATAATGATCTATATTTTAATATAATAGCACAATTAATACATTTAATATTTAACAAATTTTTTCATGAATTCAACTCTTTGAACATAAAATTGTTCTTATTGTTTTTTCATATAGCAAATTCCTTAAAGCTGAAAATTGTTTGCCCTGCTATGGAAAATGCTTTTTCAGAAGCAACTCTAGTTACTTGAATAGATAAATAATCTCGTGCAATCAAGTAAATTATTGGATATTCATAATGTCGTATTTGTCACTAAAGCATTAATAAATATTTTTTATTTCATTTAGAAAAGAATTTTTATTCTTAAAAATGACAAGGAAGAGAAAAGATTTCCTTAAGAAAAAAATAACTTTACAAGCTCCTTCTTTTGTTTTGTTAAAATTTTTTTAAACAGTATTTTGCACATTTTTTTTATAATAATATAACTAAAATAAAATATTAAGTATAAATAATTTAAAATCAAAAATAAAATTATTATTATTATACTGTATATGTTATATGTCTTATTTATTATTTAAATCAATTATTTATTTTATAATAATTTATATGATCAAATATATCATAATATAATAATAATTGTTTAATTATACATATTTTATTACTAAATGCTAAGTTAAGTTTATTTTTTAAATTAAATAATACAAATATAAACATGTATATTCAAAATTATAATATTGTTATAAATAAACAGTAATAATAATAATAATAAAATTCCATAAAAAAATAATCAAATATATAAATTAAATATTTAATTATTAATAAATAAACTTTTTTCACTTTTTTTTTATACTTAAAAAAATTTTTTTAGAAAATTTTTGAATTCTTTTTTTATTTCTCTTTTTTATTTATTTTTTTTTCTTGTTCATCATTCTTTGAATTATATATATATATATATTATTTATTTATTTTTTTATTGATATTTAATTTTTTTTAAAAAAAATTTTTTCTTTTGAATATTGTCTTCTATTTTATTAATTTTTTAACCAATTGATTCTTTTTTAAAAAAATCTACTTAAGAAGTAATAATTTTTTTAACATAACGATTATTATTGAATCTAATATTGTTTACTTATTAATAATTATATTAAATATATTTAAAAAATTGTTATATAACTATTAGTATTCAAATTTCTAAAAAGCAAATATATTTAAAAAATTTAATAAGATATTTTATAATAATTAAAAAATTTAATTACTTTAACAAAGCTAATAATAATAACAAAAGTTTTTTACTTACTTTTTAATAATATAGATTTTATATAAAGTTAATATTTATATTTATAAAAAATCAAATATAACTTTATCTTTTAAATATTTCTATTATACTTAAAAAATGAATATATTAAATCTTTTTTATAGCTAGAACTTTTAACAATATTATTTTGATATTATTTTGATATTTAAATTTACTATAAATTATATAAGTAGATTGCAATCAATATATTAAATTTACTATATATCAGTACTATTTGAATATCAGTTTAATATCAGTTTGATATTTTTTAAAACTTTGTATATAAACAAGCTAGTATTTAATTTGTTATATTTTGTATATAAAAGATATTGTTTTTTTATAATATATATTATACATATTTGTATTTATGTAATTCAAAAACCATATTATATTTATACTATTAAGTTACAATTAGTAAGCAATTGGGAATTATATTGTCAATCAAATTTTTTTTTATGGTAATAAGAAAACATGTATAATATATATTATATATAATATAAATCAAATAAAAAATAATATTTACCTATGAAAAAAATCTTCAAAAAAATTTTTAATTAAGATTGTTTATCAATATAAAACTTTAACATATTATTTTTTCTTTTATTATAAATGATATATATCAAAAGTTTTATTTAATTTAAATTATTATTTATCACATTATGAGAAAATTTCAATTCTGGTTTTTTTTAGACCAGAATATAATTCAGAAATTAAATAATAATAATAATTTTAATCTTAAGATATCATAAAAAAATTATTGATTTTAATCTTCAAAAATTATTTATGCTTATTAAAAGGTTTGCAATATGCTGCATATGAAATATAACAATATATGAAAAAAAATTTCTCTGTAAAGTTATATAATTTAATAATTTTTTTTTTAAAAAAAAAACAAATAATAATATAATATTTTTTAAAAAAACGTTAATTTTACCACATTTATTTTCTTAGAAAAAAAATAATTAGAAATACTGTAACATCTAGTACAGCATCTACCACAGCGCATGTTATTGTGATCGTGTGTTCGATTGATGCATTGCATACTATGCTTTTTATCATTCAAGAATCTTGTTTATCGGTAAAATTTGACGTTAACAAAAAAAAAAATCCAGTTTTAAATACATTCTCATATCAACTAATCTCATTCTAATAGCTTTTTATTCAATAATTTCATATCGATATAATGCCTTATTGTTTTAAGCAAAGAATAATTATTTCATTAGATAATACAAAAAAAAAAGATCGATTAAAAAAAAAAACTAACGGAAAAGAAAAAAAATGAAAAACCAGGTTGTATTTTCTACGAAATTTGGGTGATTGGAAGAATGCCATGCCATACATAAACAATAATTACACTCATTTTTTATTAACCTACAAGAGTTAGATGGTTGTAAAAGATGGTTAATGCACGTACTTAATATCGAGCAAAACTGACAGTCCAATCGGTAATCGTTTTTTCTCCATGAGGAAAATCAAGCTAGATTTTCGATTGTTTAATCGGCAGATAAATGTGTCCGGAATCTTTTACAGGTTCAACAATTCCTAGGATTGTATTGTATGCCAATGATTTCCTATGGCAGAAGGATGGACGGGATGCTAGTGACGATGATAGAATGAACTTTTCATGATAGGTACATTTTACTTTGACGAATGATGTTATGATAATTAACATACGGTAACACATTTACCGGTTTCCATGTTGGGACGTTCCTTCCGAACTTTTTTAGCAACAATGTCAATTTGCTGATTATGACTAACTGGCGATCTAACCATCGCAATATTACACTAATCAAATCATATTTTATGCCGTTTTACCATTAGAGCGGTATGTAGAGGAAAAAAAAAAAAAAAAATGCAAATATGTATTCAGTCTATTTCGCATAGAGTTGTGATCGAAAGTTGTCCTGGGAGTAGGATGTATATGTTGACATTGTACTTTTTTGATTAAATTTGTAATAAAAGTGTTGTGTGTGCCTTTACGATTTTTAATTTAGTAGCTTTTTCCTGAAAGCACTAATATTAATCACGTGTTGCTCTAAGCTGCCCTCGTTGTGTTACGTTGAGGAGGAGGTGGACTCTTGTGAAAAATCACTATCGCTAATTTCACTAATTCTGTCAGGTAAGTCCAAAGGTGGGTCTACATAAGAAATCTTTATTTCTTGCGTGGTGGTGACTGAAATGGCAGAGGATGAAGGACCAAAATCCAAATCCTTGGAATGTGAAGCTATACGGCGACGAATATTTTTCACGATCGGTTTTACAGATACAACGTTACGTGTGATTCCGTAGACTGTGGCGTTTGCTAAACCCGCGCATGTAAAGATGCAAGCCGCGAAAACAAAGCTATTGCATTTTATGCACATTAGTTAATATCATGTGATATGAGGTGTTTGTTTCATTTGGAAGAAAATACTTACTATCCAAAAGGGAGGAATTTACCAAAAATCGAGAATATACGCTCTATTTACAAAGTGAAATGAGTGAGTTATATGGGAATCTCGAGAAGAGAAGCAAATAAATAAATAAATAAAATAATAAACTTATATACCAATAGATAAAGGTAATATGATAATGATATAGACCAAAGGATACCAAATCAACCTTTTGCTGACACTTTGTAAAATTTTTTTCGATTCATCCTCACTTGACATTTTCCTGTGACGGCTGCGCAAGACACAAAACATGATCGTATACAATATCATCATCGAGGTCGCGACGGTCAGGATGATCCCGTAATGGAACAAAACTCGATAGATATTATAATTTGGGGTTATCCAACACCACAATCCACCAGCAGAACCAAAGAACGGATTCGAAGGCGTCTGTATGGAGAAGCCCAACATGGAAATCAGAATGCTCAGAGGCCATATTATGATCATGCTCAATAATATTATATGTGGATATTCGTACGAGTATACAACTAACATGTAAGTGTGAAGACAAATCACAAACACCCAGAAACCTGATAGAGAAAAAAAGGTTATCGCCGGCTGGCACTTTTTAAGAAGAGGAGGAAATCAAAATCAATTTTTACTTGAAGCGATGTCGCCAAGATTTATGAGGACTCCTTGTATATCACAAATCGTTCCACTTTGAATACCATCAGTGTGTAACCAATAATAGCTGAACATAAATCCAGAGCTTTGCAAAAAATCGGAAAACGATAAATTGCACACCAGGCGGGCGACCACTGAATTTCTCGTGTGTTTCCGTGTCATTACGAAGAAAATCACCACTATGCTAGCAACGTTGTTTATTAGGCTAAAAGATACAACTGCCGCCATCCCTTTTCTATAATCACTTCCAAAGAAATTCTCCATGTTGGTGTTAAAATCGGATTATTGACAGAAGGAATTTGTTCGTCTATTATTTACGATTAAGTGGCATTCGTTCGGGCGGCAAGGTCGTTTGGTTGTATTTAAGCAAATATGTGCTAATAAAAAAATTCATATACAGTACCCATATTACATGAAAAAAATCAAACCGAACTAACGGTCTATAAATTCCATTAAAGGGAAATGTGCATGAAAATCTAATTAGGAGCGACGGACATAATGCCAAGATTTAGGAAATAGTATCAACGCTTCTTTAGAAACCGATGGGTTTTTCTAATAGAATTTCAAGATGCTACATGTCGGTTCCCTTATGTGTAATACGTCAAAAGCTGCATCTCAACGTTTCATTCAAATCTTTAATGCATGCTTTCTTGAAATTTTGTTTGTTTTACAATAGACCAAAAAAAGCATTTTATTGGGTGCAGATTACAAATTTATTGGCTTAATCGCTCACTTTTTAAACTTTACGTGCTCACATAAATATACTGGACGTATGAAAACGTAACCCATGAGTGAGCATACATTAGCGTTATCCATAACCCAATTGATACGAAATCGTTACAAGTCTACACCGTAATGCATTCTTTATGGCAATCATATGGGCTCACCGAGGAAATCATTTATGTAAGCTCACGCGAGCAGAAATGAGAGCCGGGAAAAATTTTTCTTCTTCTTCTTAATAATATCGCGAATACAAGGTTATTTATTATTTATTTATTTATTGCACGAGTAAGGCTTGGCCAAAGATGACTATTTGATAGAAGAATCTTTTTATCTACACGTTTTTTTTTTTTCGATGTTTGTTTCAATTACAGATTACTTTGACGTGTAAATAATTCATAATGGAAAATCAAATGTCATAATTCCATAAATAAATAATTGCCATATTGAAGGACCAAAAATCGGATTATAGGAATTTTCTGATTTTATGCTAGCTTCGATCAACTAACCCGAAACGTGATGGTTTTTTTACGATTAGGATATCTGAAGCATGTTACGATTTATAATTTTAAAAAATATTAATTAAATGACTGCATGTGAAGACAAAAAAATAAAAGCATATCGCCGAGATACGAGTTTTTTAATTTTATATAAATTTAAGTTTACTTAAAATAACAAAATCATGTTCATGTACTGTATGCTCTTTATAAGCACATTCATTCATTCTTTAATTAAAAAAAAAAAAGAAAGTTGGGATAAAAATGATAAAATTCAAATTTTAATCGATATACAGTAGTCATGTTATGTAAGGGTTATCTCCCTGTTAATCCATCCACCTCGTTTACTATATTCATATTTACCAGGTTTAAATGGATCTCGGATAAACCATGATTAAGATCTCGATGAGATCATCCATAGTTTTATTTTAATTTTTTTTTTAGAAGACACGCGATATACGGTCAAATGTCCAAGGCTGGTGTAGTAATACGATGATTGAATCTCGTTTTTTTATACAAATTCATCTACACCCGTTGGTACATTATTAAACATAATGTCTTATCTAAAGGGATCATTTTATTCTCGAATATTTCATATGACGTTCATCGATTAGTTTTTGGTGTGAGCGCGGTAGAATCTGGTGCATTGACTATTAATTTGACCCTTCATGTAAAGCGATCGACTTACAATGCGATTGTATAGAACGTATTTTAGCCTCATTGAAAATAAAGCCGAGATGGTCGACGCTTTATTAATTCTCTATGAGTTGTGCAAATAGATAATGACAATGTGAACGCATGTTTGCAAAATTAATGAAAGATTTACAAGCACCTTGTAAAAACAATGTTCAGGTGTGATTTTTAATTTTATGGATGAAATAAATTTCGTGCTTATGTTAAATAGCAATCTTTAAATTTTTGGTTTGAAAATTAATTTTTAAAATACAAAATTTTGAAATTAAGGATTCTTTTTAATACATATAGTCTTATTGGATGAAAACAAAAAAGAAACGTTATTAAATAATAATAATAATAAATATTAAATTAATCTATATTTTATATACATGGAATATAATATAATTTATCATCATTTTTAATTTCCAAAAAATTATTTATTGGTGTTGAATTCGAAAATTTCCGTTTCACGCTTCTTAGCCTATTCTTATTTGATGGATTTCGATATTAAAAATAAGATTTGATGGCTTTTTGGTACTTTCAGTATAATACTTATTTTCTTATTTTTAAATCGAAAATTTTTTTAAAGTAAACTTATTTACTGTATAAGTATATGTTGTATATATCATATAAAGTTTATAATACTGCAATCAATTGGTTTCTTATTTACGAATAGAGGCAGCAGAATATATATTTTTCCAAAAGCAATTGCTCCGCACTGTAACTCGATCGATATTTCTATTTCTTGTTACAGTAATTTACAATTTATTTTGTTATTTTATTCCTTTGTCCTTTTTTTTTTTTGATCAATCAAACATTATAGGATACAAATGAGATAACAAAGTAATCGATCGTTTATTTGTTGCGAAATATTTTTAAGTTAAATGCAAAAGTATTTGGGGATCCACGTACAGATATACAGTACTTGTTATTTCGAAGATTAAACTTGATGGTTCAATAAAATCTTTGTCGGCTCGGGGTGACAATTTCGGAACATTAATTATATGGTTATTAAAATTTTTTTGAAACAGGCAGTCAGATCCCATGATTTCGGGAGACAAGAGACGCTACTACTCCTTACTCTTTGTTAATGCAGATTTCGGATAAAATTTTTTGCGCAAAATACTGTTTGTCATGTGATTACCTCCGAGTAACATGGTTTATGATTATTTTATTGTAAGGATTACTACAATGATCCATTATTAAAGTATTCATTAGCGTTTCGGTTATCATACAAATGCGTTTCTCCATTATTCAACACTTCACTTAGTTCTTTGGAACTAGCTGTATCAAATATGAGACTTGAAATCATAAGTTCAAATCAGACCCTTGATCGGCCCGAAGTGGACGGGTTATAGACATTAAATATTTTATTCAAATAGACTAGTCGTGCTATTAAGCATTATATGGTTATTTTTTACTTTTCCCGGAATTCTGACTTAAATGTTAGCACTTATCCGCCAAGCATTTTATGACCCTTTTAGCGTTTGAATTATGATGCTCTATAACGTAATCAAACATATTTTCTAAGTAGAATAAGTAAGCATTGCGGGGTTGATGCGCCTTGGATTTCAATCAAATGTCTATGTAAATTACAGGAAACTTGCTATCTGTTGGCTATCATTGTTTGAGAACATTTTCCACTCCTTGTCGCGGTTACACGCAAAATAATGGAATCAAACCCTACGAGTACATATTTTATTCTTTTCAAATCGTAAATCATGCTAAAGAATATTATCGGAAAGAAAGCTAGTCTTTAACGTAATAGTGAAAATTTGGTGTGAAAGAATTCATTTTTTTCAATAAAAGTTACTTAAACGCTTTCGTCATCATATTGTGCATCCTATTACTTTACATGTCAAAACTTGTATTATAAAAGGAATTTTTTTGGATAATTAAGTTTCAGGAGTAGGATTATGATTCACGCCTAAGACATCTTGAATTGAATGTAATCCTTTGCCTGGAAAATCTGTAATTTCGTGCTCAAATATAGTTTAGATGTCTGCCAATAGACTTTAATATGAAATGCTTTACTACATAACAGAAATTTTGTTCTGTTTTGTCCGTTATGTCCGTTATGTCCGATCAATAACTAGAGAATCTTTGATAGCTGTAGTAAACGATAAGTAAATAACGCAATTGCCAAATCAATCGTGATCCCTAGATGCTCAAGATCCGTTTGGCTGAAATTCGATCCAGAAAGAGTTATCATAAATGGTTGGATAATCTTATGTTGTATTGTGTTCTTGTAACACCCCGGCAATAAAAATCAGCTACACCAGAATCAATTTTTTCAATGTTTACATTACAATATACTGTACTGTGATTACAGATTCTATTATGGCAAGTAGAAAACGATACATATCAGGAAACCATTTACATTATATTACATCTCATCTCCTTGACTAATTATATAATTGGAATCTTATAAAAAATTCACAAATAATAACAAAACCAAATTTAAATTTAAATTTAAAATACAGTAAGTATTTCAATAAAACTTTTTTTTTTTATTGTTGTATGGATGGTTATTCTTATTTCAATAGAATAAATAATACAGGCAAAGAATTAATAGCAAGAAAGTAGTAAAGGTCAAATTTTATTTGTATTGATCAATAAAAATTTATTCTTTTAATTTCAAGAAACAAATTAAAAAATATATATACGTATATTAGTATTATTAATTTTTTTTTTTAGTTAATAATAAAGTATTTAAAGAAAATATGAATGTTTTGATTTTTTACTTTTAAAAAAATAAATTTGGTTTCTTTATTAGCTAAGATATTGAATTTGTTTAAATATATATATATAATATATTACAATTAAGTTTTTGTTTTAAAAGTTTATTATTCATTTTTTTTTGTAAAAAAATTTTGTTATAATTTTTATTAAATATAAAATCTAAATAAACCAAATTTTTAATTATATGCAGTCCTGATTAAAAATAACTGAAATGGAATTAAAAATTTAATAAAAAGTTAATAAAATAAGATAAAATTATATAAATATATATTTAAAAATATAAAAAATATATTTATTTAAAAGATTTTTTTAAAAATATTAATACTAATACTATTAAATTTTTAATATGAAAATAAAAAAATTTTTTTAAAAAATTTTTTTAATTAAATTACAAAAAATATATAATAAAGAATTTTTTCAATTGTTTATATTGTATATTTGTTAAATAAAGATTTATAAAATGATAAAAAAACTTTATTATGATTTTTTCATTTGTTAAAAGGTTTTCAAATTAATTAAAGTGATAGATTTTTGTTAAAAAATTGTAATTTTATAGTAAAATTGATTTTTTTTATATCTTAAAAATTTTTTAAAATCAATTTTACAGAATAAAAAATTATCTAAATTTAAGTAATTTATTTATATATAATAAAAATTCTAACTTCATTATTGTAATTGTTTTAAAAATTATTTTTAAGAATTCTTAAATCAATATTTTACAATAAAATTATTAATTAACCATTAATAAAATTATAATATACTTATTTATAGATCTTAATAAATATATACAGTATTTAAAATATTATTGAATTTGAATAAATAATTATTAAATCATAAAAAAAAATTCAATTCTGGTTTTTCTTTGATTAGAATTATATATAAAATTATATTTTTAAAACAATTTTTTTTATTAAGTTATAATGTTATTTAATTGAATTATGTAAATTTTTTTAAAAAAAAATTCCTATAATTTAAATTAAATTTTTAATCATAAAATATTATTATAACTTTTAATATTTAAAGCTTTATTTTAATATATTATTATTATTATTATTTATATTTTTTTAATATTATTTATTTATTTAAAAATTGTGTTATACCCTATATATTGTATAGTATCATAAGGTCATTTACAATTTAATAAATTATTATTATTCAAACTAACAAATTCATTTAATAAGACTTTTAATTAAAAACAAATTTGAGAAATGAATTAGAATGTAGAATTTGTAAACATACATCATTACCAACCAGTGAAACTGAATTATTTAACTTTTTACAAGAGTAATCTATTATACCAAAGCAGTTGAAAAATTTAGAGGAAATCCTACAAAATATTAAATAAAATATTAAATAAATAAAATTAAATAAAATTTTTATTTGGATTTTTTTAAAAATTTTGATAATCGCCAAATTTGATCGCTGGCCAGTGACTTTTGTCAAGGGTGTACATTACACAAACATTGACGGAAACCCATATAAAAAATAATTTTTTTAAGGCCACGTATGACAATGCTGATTTCAATCTATACTTATCGGAAACTTCCCGCCTTCCTCTTAAATATATATATATATATTCATCGAAATTGATAAAATCCTTAAACTCGGTCAATCTCAATTCTGAGATGAGAGTGATAAACTTTTCGTTTTCTATATAATATACAATATGCACAAGAGTGTTTGTTCTTCTTGATTTCAAATGAACTCGTTGAAGGCAGAATGCATTTCACTAAGCGTGCCAAACATTACGTATTTTGTCTTTAGGCGGTTGATATAATTAGTCTGGAAAAATAATATACAGGCATAATTCGTTCATTATTTCCATGAATGATGTTACGCGTTACGCACGGGTAATTGTTTACGTTTTCATGAGAGTTTTCGTGAACTCCGTTTGACGCCTAGCCAGCCAACTTTACCAACATAATGTTACACATCTTTTTGAGAAAACGCCAAACCAGCTAGACTGTTTCACAAATTTAAAGCCGTTACCATCCGTTCCCTATAAAAAATCCTTTCCTTCATCCAAAAAATTAAAATTCTTTTACGATGGCACTCGACTTAGGAAGAATTTCAAGACTCTTGGGACCATTGGTTATTACGATCCAATTAATCGTAGTGGCTCTCCTCTATGTTCGTGTACATCCATTTCCACCGGCACCTGAACAAGTGATCTCAAATTTCACACATTTACCACTATGGGAGCCTGAAAAGCGCATCGTCCCAGTACCAATCCAATTGACTAACAATTCCAACAATGGAAACTGAAAATAGTTCTATTGCTATGAGACCAGCAAAAGATGAACCCGCACAAGTTTTTGTTGGGGAAGGCGCTCCACTCCTAGGAGGTTCTTCTGATGACTATGGTCAATATAAAGGACCATTACTTTTTATTGCCTCTTTTATACATCTCATCGGAAACACAGCTGTTGTGGTTGGGGATTATTCGGCCATATCGTATGTATTGTTTTTTTCTTTGGCTCCTGATAGTCATTTATTAATAAAAATTTTTTCTCTATTTCTTTAGTTTGATTATACTCGCCAGTTCATACAGTATCGCCTTTCTGTTATACGCATTATACGTTTATAAGGCGCAGAAATGCCGTGAAACCTACGTTGGCGTGCGGATAACTGTTTATGATTTCACCTTGATTCTTCTATGGAGTATTTCAGCTGGTCTTATTCCCGTTCTGATAGGGTTATTGAATTTTAAATAAATTAAAACATCAATAAAGTGATGAATATTCTAGTTGTTGTAATATAAATAAATTATATTTTTAAATTATATAACCAATTTACGGATTTCACAATTACTGCATAATAAAATATGTTGACCTTAAGAAACCGAATGTTTACTCATGATTTGCAAATACTTGAACCCCAATTCAATATTTAGTTGGAAGGAAATCGAAATGGTGCATTTAAATATAAGAATAGGCTATCAAGTTTTTTATTAGAACAACATATCCTAGTGAAATTCTATAATTCAGTTTGGATGGATCCGAGCTTGGTCAATGATCGTGTCAATGCTAAACGGCCGTGATCATAGGCAAACTATACATCGCGATATTTACAGTATTTAATATATTGTAAATTAAAAAAAAAGATAATATTACAATTATGAAATGATAATATGATAAATACAAGATTGATTTATATACTGTATATTGTGTCTAATAAGAAATTAAAATAATCAGCACTGATAAATTCGAAATTAAAAATTCAAATGTCTATAATTGTAAAGTTATTAATTGTAATTACTGATCAGGTAAAATCTTTATTTTTAAAATTCATTATTAAATATTTTTAGCAATATAGATTGAAGTATTGTTATTTTGAAACAAATATCTCTTGTAATTAAAATCCTTATCAATTAAAAATAATAAATGTTTGTTTTGCAAATATTTTAATCTAATTTAATCTATTTAATATCATCTCTTGTATCAAAAACTCTTCAAATATAACCAGAACCATTATTTTTTAATATTATAAATATACTTATCATTTTATATAATATTTTTCTATTTTTTTAACAATTTATTTTTTTTCAATATATTATTTTTTGATAATTTTTTTTGTTAATTATTTAAAAATAGTTTTTAAACTAATATATTAAAAAATATATTTATTAATATAATTGTTCTGATAACAATTTCAATATTGATTTTTTTAATAAATTTGTTTTTAATTTGTTTTGCAAATTTCTTGTTATTTTTTTTACCAATTTTTTTTAAAATGATTTTGTCTTTAAAAAGGAATATTTAGTTTTAAAAAAAATAACAAGATTGTTTTTATTAATATAATTTTTAATTATAAGAGAAACAGTTGTTCTATGAATATTAAAAAGTTTTGAAATTTTCAATAACGATTATTTATTTATCTTTATATATAGATTG